TCAGACACAGGGTCTCTCCCTCTAGGCTGACTTCCCGCCAAACTGGTCTCCATGGTCCTACAACTTGGAAGGAAATTAAACCTGCCAGCATGCTGGTGGTCACATGCTGGATGGGGCAGAGCAGCCACAGGGGCCACGTGCCATGGACAGGAACAGCTCGGGCAGGCCAAACTGGGTGTGAAACTGATCTCTAAATTAGCTCCCCACTGGCACACCCAGAACAGGGGGTGCTTCTCTGTCCGCCAACTCCACCTCTCTCCCAACACCAGTAAGTGCTTCCCCGTCTCTCCCAGTGGCTCTGGGCTGTCTGCGGGAATATCGGGCAAGGCTGCACAGAGGTAGACATGATGTTTGACTCTACAAGAATGTTAAGCATTTTTTTTTTTCTAGCTTGAGACTTAAAAATGTAAGCATATATTTCAAGTTGGGATCTTTGACATTTTTCTCAGAAAACTTGCCATTTGTTAACTGCAGAGAGAAGAGATGTTGGATTGAAAGGGATCGTTCCACGGTCCCACCAACTTCTGCTGCCTGCCCCACTCTGCCCACAGCCAAGCAAGCCCTCTAGGGAGAGGCTGGCTGGAGCGCTGATTCGTGGTGGTGCCAGAGGGGCGGGTTTCAAAATGTAACAACTGGGGTGCTATGGGCACTGCTGGTCCCAGAACAACACAGGGCATGAACAACTGCAGCTGAACTTCTGCCGAGTTACTGTTTAGTTTTATCTGCCCCCTCTACCCTCTGCGGAGGCCCCGACTCCTTACCAAGGCCTCCAGCCGCGTGCTCTGGCTCCTGCCTCTCCGCTCTCCCTTCTCGGGCTCTTCCCGCCCTTCCCTGCCGGTGTGGGGATGGCCCGGGTCCACCCCTACCCGCGGCCTCTGCTTGGCTCCCTCCCTCCCTTCACTTAGGTTTTGTTCGGTATCGTTTTCTCGAAACCCTCTCCCTCCTACCCCAAGCGCTTTCTCCCTGCCCTGCTTATTTGCTTCTTTACGACATGGAGTTTTTCTGAAGTCACATTCAGATCTACGTGCTATGAGCTCCACAAAGTCGCGTGTTTTCCCTTACCACCACGGCACCGCCGTGTCCCTGCACACGGGACAGGGCCTGCCAGGGAGCGGAGGCTCAGGAAAGATTTGCTGAATGAATGTATATGAAAACCAACGTGAATCCTACCTTCTCTCTCCTGTGCATGAAGTTTATGGGATATGGAACTGGAAATATGACAACATGGACATTTTAAAAGAAAGGATTTGGTAATGACGGCCTGACAGCTGTCACAGCTGTGACCTCTCCTTTTCTATCTGCACTCTGGATCTGTGTCTTTCTTCATGCCCTAAGAAAGTGCTTTATATCAGGATTAAAGTGTTGTTGGCAGAATTATCTCCCCATTATTTTCAGGAGACTAGTATCTTATTTCAGTATGTGGGCTCACCTTTTAGTTGCTTATATCCAGCCTTTTAATGGTATCATTTAACAGTATCAGTCTTAAGGGATCTAGAAATACCACAGCTAAGCTTAGCTTCCGTGAACCCCGGGCCCTGCTGTTATTACTAATGACAACACGGCTGTGGCTGTTACTGCTCTGCCTACTGATTCCACCAAGACTCACAGCCCAAAGCATCTTCCTGCCGTGCGTGGAGCACACGCTGATCTACTGGCTGAGGCAGTGACTTGAGAGAACATGAGCTTGCTGGTGGCACAGCTGTCGCTACGAATGCAAGTGCATCTCCCTGTGCAGGGCCATTACTGCCCACCCACTTTCCACAGTGATCTGATTTGTCAGAAGGGGGAAACAAAGGCCTCCTGGTTAGCTAAGTGGGTTACTATGTGCACAAGTCTCTGGGCACTTCCGGAGGACCTGGGCCGAGGGAGAGTGCCTCCAACCCCGCCAGCTTGTGCCTATTTCACTGTGCAGCCAAACAGTGTGTTTGACATCCTCAGGTACCCAGCCTTTGAGAAATGACACATGTCCCTGCACCCAGAGAAGGCAACTTTGCCATCTGGAACTTGCTTGCTTGCTGACTTAGGGTACTTTGGCATTCAGGCAATCCCTTACCCCCACTTTGTGATTAGAACAACTGGCGACCTTTTTTTGATAGTCCCATTCATTTGTTGGACATATTTTCATATGCGCATGAAAGGACATTGGGACTGAGGATACCCTGGATTGTAGGAGGCCCTTAGAGAGTATCTAACGAATGGTCCACTTTCCCGCCAAGACCCAGGGCAAGGCTCTCTCCTTAGCTTTGACTGGGTAACGCTAACAGCGCTTAGGAAATGCTTAGTGACTACCTTAGGACAGACAATGATAAAAAATTAAATACAGTACAGTCTCATTTGTTTGTATTAACAGAGGCCAAGGTGTTGTTGGGACACCTGAACCCTAAAAGCCATTTGAAGATTTCTCTTAGTTACTAGACTATATTAGATTGAACTACCTGAAATTACTATATGCATCTATGTTTATGCTAAATACAAAAAGCAATTTCATATTCTCCACTCCAGTATTTCTTCTATTGCCAAACCTTTATTGGGATGGCTCACAAGGACGAGGAGGAGGCCATGTTCTCTAAGGGGACACAACCCTGGGAAAATGAGGTACCGTAGACCCTATTCTTACCTGGTGGTTGTCACAGCGCCTTCTCTGGTTGCTCTTAAAGAGGCAAACGCATCAGCCTGAGGTAGAGACAAAGGTTCTAGCCCTGGTCCTCCTAATGACAAGTCACATGCAGGATGCCCAGGCGTTCTGGGCGTGTAACCTGTGTCAACTACTATTGGTATCACCATCATTAGCTATATAGCTTTGGGCAAGTCACTTAAACTTTCTAAGCCTCAGCTCCTTATTTGGAAAATGGGGAAGACATGCATGAAAATGCTTTGCAAAGTGCTCTAGAAATATAGGGCGGAGGTTAAATGACGGGACATCAGGTTATCACCCCTTGCCTTACAGTATGTGAAGTCGAGGACAGTGTGGTAGGCTGCACTGGGTGGCACTCTCGGAGGCCTTTGTCTCCTAATTGATCTAATGTGCTAAGTGAGCTTAATGTAAGTTAATTAATGATACTACTTAGGGTGGAATTACCTAGGCAGAGCCTAAAACAGCATCAAAGGAATGAGCAGGCAGGTGTCTCTGGAATAACTGAGGAAACCAGGGCCAGGAGGAAAGCTGCTAAGAGGCATGCAGACAAGACCCTGAGCAAGCCCAGGAGGGAACCCATCTGAGTCTGAGCGTTTAATCATTGGGCTGGCTTCCAGAACACCATCCTGTTTACAGCTACTGTTTGATTTTCAGTTTTTCTGGAGTCTTTGAAGTTGAGTTTCTGGGCATTTCCTTGGGAATGGATTCCATTTTTTGGAAACCACAAAACTCACTCACTGGAAGCCAGGAAGGAGACTCAGGTGACCCAGCTTTGATCTGTGGTCCTTTGGGACTTATGGAACTTCGGTGCTCCCTGGTTAAAAGAGTAATTTGGTTTTGTGCCCTGTGAAATGGGAGGGTGATACCAGGTCTTTCTTCACTTCTTTGAGTAAAGACTGGGCTGTTGCCTGTGGCAGGTGCTGTGCTAAGTTCAGGGACACAAAAATCCTTAAGAAAGAAAGGTGAGCCCCTGACACTTCTGAGCCTTGAAATATGTGTCATCAACAAAATGAAAACCCTGTTTACTTTTAGAAACCTGAGTAGTGCCCAGGGAGTGAAAATCAAACATTTCAGGGAAATTTTATTTTTTCTCCCAAAGACGTGTGTTGTCGGGATTACCCTACAAATGTGCTGTCACAAGCTAATACGACAAATCCTGCCCACTTAAGGGTGGGGAGAGAGCAGAGCAGAGACCCAGGCTGATCATCACTGGGCCCCTCAATCTTCTCCTCCAGTGACAAAGGGCACACATGGACCATCATCAGGACAAATGCAAATTTCCTAACTTTGATGAGTGACTCCCTTTTTGGTGGACTTTGTCAAAATGTGACTTTAAAGGTTGTGAGTGGCTATGGCTTAGAAATCTTAGAGCATCAGGCCAGGCAAGAAATATTCCGTATCTTAATTATTTCAACTGATTCCTTTTCTCCTTTAGTCCATAATAGCTTTTTGCCTCTTTAGTATTTGGAATTAGCTGCAGTTTCACCCTTGGCTAGAGGTGTCTCAAAAGTGCAACATCAGAGCCCCACGGCAGCCGCTAGCTGGGGAGCAGAGGAGGGGCCTGGTGTTCGTCTGCGCCCCTCTGGTCTCCATTCTTGTCATCTCAAGTCCCTGTGTCCCACCAACTCTGTCAAATTCCCCTGACTGCAGGGCTTCTGTCCCATCCCTTATTGCTTTCATTGTCCCTTTCGAACCCTCACCTGCTGTCCTCTCTGCCCAGCTGCCCCTTGCTCCTTGCCCTGGCACCTTTAGCCGCTGCAGTGTGGGAGCAATTGCTGCAGGATGCCGGGAAGTCAGAGCCACTCTTGTGCAGGAGCCCCAGCTCCTCCGTGACCTGTCAGAGCATCGAGAGGAGCCTCTGGGCTGGAAATGAAACCCTCAGTCCTCAGAAATGCACACCCTCCTCACCCCTACCTCCCAAGAGAGGCCAAAGGGGCCCCCGAAATGTGGCTTAGGCGCTGCGGGAGCTGGGGGTGGGTGGCAGGCAGAGTGCAGCCCAGGTCCCAGGGCTGCTGCCGGCCTGCCCTGGCCAGGCGCGGGCCAGCCTGCGGAACTCACTTCCACGCTCCGTGGCCACGCCGGGGCCCTAGTGGCCAAGTCTTAAAGCCTGCTAAGCACGTACGGAGTTTGGCTCACTGGCTGAGCAGCAAAGTAGGGTTTCTGATGTTTTCCTGAAAACAAAGGAACAATCTCAGGTCTTAGAACTCGCTGCACAGACGTCCAGTGCCTGGGAAAGCCTGTTCCAACGCAACCCAAATATGACACGCATTTCAAAAATGCGCCCGGGCCGTCTCGCAGCCCCTGACACCTCAGTGTCTCCAGAGCCCGGGACTTCGGGAAGCCAGGGAGACCGGCCACGGCTTACCTGCCCCCGGTCGCAGGCTCCGCTTCTAGTCCACGCGGATCGGGGTCCCCGAAGGAAGCCGGCCGGGCCCTGCGCGGGGCCCCCGGGTCGCACAGGTGCCCCGGGAAGCAGGTGCGGGCCGGGCGCGGCGGGGAGGCGCG